CAACCTGATTGTAAGATGGAAAAACATCATCAATAAGAATGGCGACTATTTCATTTAATAAATGTTTTGTTTGACATATAAGTTGTTCGGGTTTTGTCATCTAAAAAATAGCGACATTAATTTCTTGACGACCTAATAATTATCATAACTTGATAAGATAATAGTATTAGGCTTATTACATTTTCAAACATTACATTATTTATTCGAAACCTTGGGGTTTTCTACTTTTTATGTTTGTCCAAGGGAAATGTTATACTTCTAACGATTATATAGAGAGTTTACAGAATACGCAAACTTTGTTAACTGTAAATGTATTTTCTCTTCATCGAATAGATGTACTCTGTTGAGATAGAAATTTCGGATAACTTGTCTTTAAATGGTACTTCTGTCATAAAATCAGTTTCACGTTCTAATACAGAGAACTCTACTCAGTTATATACCAATTAAACCTTTTTTTTTTCTTCAAAGTAAGCTGATACAAGATAATAAACATATCAAATTTAGTTATGAAAACACGTATCTTGGCCGTTTACAGTTCGTGCGCTTATGAGTACAAGATTTATAACGCCAGAATTGTTTAACTTAACAAGTAACGTTGTGTCACGTCCTTGTCATATTATAGGTTAAACTCGAACCAAAATAACAATTGAAAAAGTAATTATCCCAACAGGAACTTCAACGTTACCATAAGTAATTTTACTGTTTATGAACAAGATAGATATTGTCATAAATACCACTACCGTTAGTCAGAGGGCTGTTGTTTCTAGATATTTCAAACACTCATAAAAGAAATCAGGCTTATCATAGATACCTTTGCCGCTTATCAAGACCTTACACGTTACCACAAGTACCTCTATCACTCACCATCGACTTAGATGAGACCATTATTCAATGACCACCTGTCAGGGATGTTATACCACCGATTTGATTATTTTAAGTTGTCTTCATCCCATCAAGACGAATTGGATGGCGTGGTATCAGAGATTGATTAGCCAACAAGTATATATATATATATATAATT